GTATGGATTTCATTTGCTCTTAATGCAGTTTACCTTTAAACCACCTGTCTGATCTCTTTCTAATCAGATGTAAAGCAAATGCCACTGGGTGCCCAGGGGTGTGTTGTGTGTGGAGCTGATTACATTGTGTTGTTTTTGAGATGTCTATTAGAAGCCAATAAGGTACTCGCAGGCCATGTCAGCCAGTCACCCAGAACCGACCAGGAACTCTGCAGGTGCTCCTTGCAGGGTCTGGGGGGCTTTGGGCTCTGGGATGGCAGAGCAGGGGCTGAGTGACAGCTGTGGGGATTTATGGCACTGTACAAATGCAGGGTTTGTGCCTGTGCAAGCTGAGATGCTGACAGAGCCACTGTTCTGGTTGGGGCCAAAAAAGGCTTTAAAAATTTGCATTTTGAAGCAGTTCAGCCTGAATCACTCTCCTTGTGGGGAAATGCCTGACATGTTCAGAAAACCATTGATGCTACAAGTTGCTAATGGTTGTGGCATTTGGAACACCCCATTTTACAGGACTCTTTGCCCCCTGAAGCAATTAAAGAGCAAACTTGGAAGAGACTGTGCTATGCCCTGGGTTTCTTTTCATGATGAAACTGTGAGAGAAGGAGCAGGAGAAGGAAAAGGGCTGGTTGAAATACCTCTGTCTGGAAATAGCCTTGAGCTGGTGGATCAAGGAGCGGTCATGACTTATGTGTGTTACAGGTTCAGAACTGAACCACTCGCAGTAACACTACAGAGATACTCCCTGCTCTCCTTGGAGGCTGGGCAGCTCCTCAGCAGCTCCAGCTGTTGGTTTGAGCAGTGCTAAACCATGAGCATCTTTCCTTTCTGGGATTGACTGCACTTTTCCTTAAAGAATTGCCCTCTGACCTCAGTCTTGATTCTTAGTTAATAAGTAGCACCAAAGGAGTCTGAGATGAATCACTGTTTGAGGAGCTGCAATCCAGACCTGGAGCACAGACCCCCTTCCCATTAGCTCTGCACTGAGATGGATTTGTGTTTTCATTGGAGCTTGTTCTAAGCAGAGATTATTCTGGCTGTGAAACCTCTTCCAAGCAGAACAGTTGCTTCTAGCCTGTCTTGTGGTGTTTTGCCTGTCTTGTGGTGGTTTTTTTTTTTTTTTTTTTTTTTTTTTTTTTTTTTTTTTTTTTTTTTTTTTTTTTTTTTTGTTTTTTTTT